GAGTGGCAGCCGTGACTTCTGCACAGTTTGCTGGGGGCCAGGTGGCTCAAGCCCACAGCAGCGCCCCGTATTTGCAAGTGACCGAGTGTCACCTCTGTGCTGTCCAGAGTCTTTTGCAGACATGCTGGCCAACGTCTGAGGTCTCCCTGCCGTGACCTCCCCACCAGGCCTGCCTGCCAGGGCCCCAGGGCCTCCGGGGGCTGCCCTCTCTGCCCAGGGGTCGTCTGACCGTGGGACTGCGTGTGACCCTCCACACAACTTTGGCTCTGGGTGATTTTCTGTACACAAGTGATGCCCTCTGTCCCAGTGACCTCATCTTTCTGCAGCTCCCCTGAACTGTCCAGCTGGCAGGACCCCAGGAGGGCCATCAGGGCCTGAGGACTGTCCACCCACTTCCCTCAGATCCTGGGCAGTAGGCCAGCCTGGGCTTATGTCTCCCACTGCACAGGAGAGGGCTGTGGTCCCCAGTGGAGCGGGGGCTGGGCCAGCCACCTGGTGCCTCCACGGGCTCCTGCCGTGCTGAGCGTCTCCCCAGAGGCCTGTGTCTGACCGCCCAGCTCCCCCTCTGTGCCCACATCATGTGGGCACTAGACGGGGCCGGACACAGACACTACCTCACCAGCCCGGGCCTGCCAGCTGTGGGACCACGGCCATGGCTAGCCGGCCAGTCTAGGAGAGGGGACAGAAGTTCCCGAGTTTGCCTCAAGCAGGCCGTGGACCCAGGTGGGTGCATACCGTGCGAGGCTCTGGCTCCTCCTGGGGTGGCAGGCTTGCTGCGTTCACCGGGCAGAGCAGGGAGGCGTCTCTGCTGGGAGCCAGGCGCTGTGGACGACCCTTGACCCCTTGGCCGGTGGTCTCAGAAACCCTTCATAATGACTCTGAGAGGTAGAGACCCCTGTGCCCATTTGACAGGTGGGGCCCGAGAGGTAAAGTGACTAATTCAGGGTCTTACAGCTGGGGGGTCAGGAGGAGTCAAGGCGCCAGAGCCAGGCCTGCCTGGCTCCAGAGCACTTCCCCCAGGCCACATGGCCCTTCTAAGGACAGGAAGGCCCGACGGGCTCCTGGAATCTCACCAATGAGCCTCTGGCTGGGTGCGGAGCTGGGTGGAACCTTCCCATGGTGAGGAGGGTAAGAGGCCGCCCCGGGGCTGTTGCTGTTCTGTCCCGGAGGCTGGGCCACCTTTGGCCCCCTTCTCCTCCAAGAACATGATGTAGGGGCCTCAGGGAGCGTTGGGCAGAAAACCTTTCCCTTATCCCCAAGAGGCCCCGGGCCCTGTTTGGGGGTCCGAACCTGGGGACCCAGGGAGCGCCATCTCCATGTGGCCAGCTCTGAAGCAGTGGTGTCCCCATTTGTCCTCTCATGGCCTCCAAGCCAGCACCATCCTGAGTCCGGGCTGGCGTGCAGGCAGGGCTCACTGGGGAGACTTGACCCCGACTCGGGCAGGGTACGGCCTGGGCTCAGTGACAGGAAGGACAGGAAGGGATGGGTGGAATCATGAACCGACTCTGGCAAGAGCACATTTAACCAGGTTCGCTTGTTGGACTAGATGACGGGCAGAGCCAGTCCACTTGGGTAGAAGTCAGGTGGGACCAATGCAGCCCTTCCCAGCCTTGGCACCTGGACATGGGGGCTGCGTAATCCTCCATGCTGGGGCCGTCCTGGGCGCTGCGGATGCTGAGCAGCACCCCTGGCCTCTGCCCACTGATGCCAGCAGCACCCTCTCACTGGGACAATCAGAATGTCAGTGGACATTGCCAGATGTCGCCTGGGGCAACGTTGCCCGGGTGGACAGCCACTGGACTAGAGGTTACCCATGGACATTCCTGGGGACCTGAGACAGTTCTCTTTCAAATCTGGGGGTGGGCACAAGGTATGTTCACGTTGTGGAAATTCACAAGCTATACATTTATGATACTCTCTGTTCTGTATGTACGTTATAGCCAGCCAAAATTTTATTTAATAAGTTCATTAAAAAAGTTCAAAAAAGGGGCCAGCCCAGTGGCATAGTGGTTAAGTTCGTGTGCTCCGCTTCAGAGGCCTGGGGTTCGTGTGTTCAGATCCTGGGCGCAGACCTACACACGGCTCATCAAAACCATGCTCTGACAGCATCTCACATACAAAGAGGAAGGCTGGCACACATGTTAGCTCAGCAACAATCTTCCTCAGGCAAAAAGAGGAAGATTGGCAACAGATGTTAGCTCATGGCCAGTCTTCCTCACCAGAAAAAAAAAAAAAAAGCATGAAAATAGGATGAAGGACATATCTAAGTTTTCCGGGTCTTCATCAACAGTGAACTCTGAGGGTGTCAACAATGGGATAGAGTCTCAAAAAACCCCCAAAGGAATCAGTCTGAGGCTGCTTTGAAAAACTAGAGAGGTAGGCCAAGGAAAGGCCAGCTGTGAACTCAGCCTGATGGTCAAGCGTTGGTGGATGGGGTTCCCATCGTGACCCCGCACTTTTAGGAGATTCCTGTGCTCTGAGTCTCCCAGGGCCGAGCACACAGTAGGTCTCGGGACCACACTGAGCGCGTGCAGCCTGCACAGTGATAGGGACAGCCAAGTGTGTGCGAGGCGTTTTCTGAGCTTTTCCCTGAACTGCTCCCACGCTCCAGGGAACAGAAGACAAGCGTTTCTGCATTGTTGTTTGGACAGTTAACAGCAAACCTGGACGTGCCCTAGAGGGGCCATGATGGGAGACGGCAGGCACGTGATCGCGTCTCTGCAGATTGGAAAGTTAGGCAGGAATTAACCTCTGTGCTTGGAGAAAGGTTTCATGTTGCACAGTGTGAAGTGGGGAAGCAGGGCTGACATTTACCGACGGCAGGACCTCAATGCCACAAGACACACACAGAAAAGAGACGGGAACATCCAAGAACTAAATGCACACAGAGCTCCCCCATGTTCACGGACAGGAAGCCTCGGTGCTGGCAAGACGTCAGTTTCCTGACGTGATCTGCAGACTCAAAGCGCCCATCAGAAGCCCAGCAAGTGATTCTGTGTCTGTCGATCAGAGGCCGAGGGCACTCACCCCAACGCCGGCAGACGCTGTGGCTGCGTGCTGACATTACCAATGATTTTAATTTTTTCTTCGTGTCTTTATGCAATGAACATATTACTTCGAGCATTAGAAAAGGGAAATAAACTGGTTTTTAAGGACAAATGAAGGAAGAGGAAGAGCAAGCAGAGGGGCCGGGCGGATGAGTTCAGCAGCACAGTCTCTTTGGAGTCGGCTGGAGGGGGCCCAGGGGTATCACTGGCCCTCCCCGGTGCCTGGCAGCCCCTCCTGTCTGAGGACTCGGATGGGAGATAGTCCGGCAGCGAGGTCAGCTCGGGGTTGGCCGGGAATCTGGGCCCCTCTGCACTGCAGTCTGCAGGGGGAGGCCTGGGAAGCAGCCAGTTTCTACGGTCTGGATGGGCCGAGAGGGGATTGTTTCTCCAGCTGGGGTCCTTTCTTTTAAAAGGCCTTTAAAACAAATGATGGAGCCGATACTGTGCGAAACCCAACCGCAGTTCCTCACGGTCAAGCTCCGTCCACAGAGCCTGCAGCAGAAAGGCCCCGCGGAGGCCCCAGGGCAGGTGCAGCCTTGCTCCTCACGCTCTGCTCAGCCTTCACAGCCTGGCTCTGGCGCCATCTCCTCCAGGAGGGCCCCCTGATTTCCTGGGCCCACAGTGCTCCCTCTCTCTCCTGCAGTCCTAATGCACTTGACCTGCCCCATCCCGGGTCCTGGAGCTCTCTCTCCCTTGGCGAAGGCTGCCCTTAGGAAGCCTCAGCAGAGGAGAGGGGAGGGGAGGGAGCGTCAAGGAGTGGGTCCCGGCTGTGGGCACCTGGGGCTCCATCCCAGTGGGGCTCCCTGGGAAAATACATGGAGCCCACCTCGAGTGGCCCCACCGAGGCACGAGGAAGCTGACGCCATCCACAAGTGGCGATCCCTGGCTCCCCGAGGGCCGCTCCTGGGCGTTGCCTCCCCGGCACGTGGGGCCTGCCCTGGGCACTGGCTGGCACATCCCAGGCTGGTCCTTTGGCCTGATAGCGCCACAGGCAGACACATAGAGCAGCCCCTGGCTGGAGTGACGGACAGTCGGCAGGTAAGCTGGCTGGGGGCGGCGCTGCCACCCTGCCTGCTCTTGTGTCCTCGGCTGGCTGGGGCCTCTGAGGCTGCACCCCCACGGCCTGCACGGAAGGAGTGTTGGATGCACAGCACGTGCCCGGGATCCAGGGAGGCCGCCCGCCCCTTCCCGGAGCCCTCCCTCCTCGGGCCCAGAGCAAGTATGCGGGAGCTTTGATGAAGAAAACAGGGAGCAAGGAGGGTCCGTGCCAGCTCTGACCCGGTCCTGGAGGCATGACAACGTATTCTTTCACTCAACAAGTATTTCTCGTCCGCCCCGTGTCTGCCTGGCCCTGAGCCTGAGCCTGCACGGAGGCTGGGAGAGGCTCAGAGACCCCGACCCAAAAGCGGGACCCTCAGACCCTATAAAACAGGCAGAGGCTCAGGGTGGGCCTGGGCCGTGGCTTTGCAGGCAGCGTGCGTGGCGCTCACGGCCTGCCTGGAATCAGACAGACCCAGGCTCACAGTGCAGCTCCGCCACCTTCGTGCTGTGTGGCCTGGGCACACCCCTTCACCTCTCTGAGCGTGTCTCCTCATCCGCAAAAGTGGGAAAAAGAGTCACTTACAGGGTCATCAGAGGGTGGATGACAGCCCGGACATCAAGTGCTCAGAGCGATGCTGTCCCGGTGGTGAGTGGTCAACACGGTGTCACTATGGTAACAGGCTCCCAGCCCAGAATTTGCATCTGAGAGCAAAGGATGCTACGTGCCCACTCCTTCTGAAGGAAGAGCCAGCACTTCTCTGAGGGGCGACTGAGAGGTGATGGAGGGGTGACTGAGGGGTGAGTGAGGGGCGACTGAGAGGTGATGGAGGGGTGACTGAGGGGTGAGTGAGGGGCGACTGAGAGGTGATGGAGGGGTGACTGAGGGGTGAGTGAGGGGCGACTGAGGGTTGACTGAGGGACACCTGAGGGGTGCTGGACACACCACCTGTACTCATCACCCGCCTTTGATGGATGTGATCCAGAGACTGGGGGGAGGATGGTTAAGAGAGAGCTGGCCCGGAGCTGTGCATCTTCATCCCCAGGTGGGAGGAGAGGGGTGTGCAGCCCCCAGGCCCGGGGAGGAGCTTGGCGAGAACGGCCCGCTTGCAGAGAGCTGGTCCCCCCGAGCCCGCTGGAGGCTGGAGGACACTAAGGTGGGCCCTGGAAAAGTCTGAAGGCCCGAGGCATGCAGGGAGGTGGGATAGGGGCCCTGGGGCTCATAGAGCGCAGTGGGCAGAGTGCCCTGGTTCCAGGGTAGCCACCACAGGGGCCTGCCCAAGCGTCTTCCCGCCGGGGAAGGAGCTGCAGGGAGAGCATCCGGGTGGGCGGCCTGCAGACCACGAGTGGGGAGGCGACAACAGTGCTCCCGAGGTCATCCTTCCCGACGGCAGGATCTGAGCTTGGCCCAGCGAGGGTCTCGGGAGCTGCGGCCCGCAGGATGCTCCCGTGAGCGTGTGGCTTTCTCCAGGGCGGGTTTCCAGGAGCCGAGCTGCTGGGTCAGAGGACGCGGCATTTAAACCTCTAACGGATGCACGGAGCCAAGTGGCCTGCCAGAAGGTCACCCCCCACGGGGTGGGAGTGGCCCGTGTCCCCATGCCCAGGCCTCCTCTAAGCTTTGCCCGGTGACAGTAGAATGGCATCTAGTGGCTATTGTCCCTCACCGTCCCCCATGCCAGGCGTGCCCGCTGCACTGCGTGTTCGAGACCAGCCATGACCATCCTCGGAGCTTCACGGGAAGCGCGTGCCGGGACCACTTTCCTCAGAGGAGCTGTGTGGACCTGCTCCTCGGCCTGCCTGTCGCACATCCTTACAGCCCTCAGGGACAGATATTATTATCCCCATCTTACAGGTGAGGAAACCGAGGCTCGGAGGCAGGTCACTCACCCAAGGCCACACAGCCAGGTGCAGGCCTGACGTCAGTTCCGCTGAGCTGATGGCGCTGCAGACGCAATAGCTGGCGTGGGCTGGGCCACACCGCATGCAGCCAGCGCTGGGCCGGGGATGTTGCCTCCTTCTGGGGACCACCACCTACGGCCTGGGCCGTGAGAGCAAGTTCTCTGACATCTCGTAGCTCCAGTTTCTTCTGGAAAGACTGGATGAGATGCTGTGCACTGAGTGGTTAGCACGTGGCTAGAGACCTAGTCTACGTAACACCGCAGAGCAAAGTACAGAAGCCGTTGTCTGTCCTGGGCCTCTTTGTGGGGAAGATGCCTCAACACGAGTTGCGAAGGGCCTTCAGGGCCGGGCTGTCTGCGGGGCCCGGTGCCACAGGGGGACTCTGTGAGACAGGACAAGGGATTTGCTGCCCTCGGGGAGACCTGGGAGGGAAGGGAGTAGTGTGCAGAGAGGAGGCGGAATGGGGTCAAAGGGGAAGGGGGCCCTCCAGCGAAGGTAGGGGTTCCAGGGGAGCCCACCCTCCTGTGGCACAGCAGGGATCTTCGAGGGGGTTACTGCAAGGCTGTGCTGCGCCTCCCTTCCCTTGCTCCCCACAAAGAAGATGGTGATGGTGATGATGGTGATGGTGGTGATGGTGATGGTGATGATGGTGATGGTGGTGATGGTGATGATGGTGATGATGACGATGGTGGTGGTGGTGATGATATGATGTGATGATGCTGTTGATGGCAGTGGTGATGCTCCTGCTGTGATGATGATGGTGATAGTGATGGTGTGATGCTGCTGATGATAGTGAAGATGATGATGATGATATAGTGGTGATGCTGATGATGGAAAACTTTGGTGATGGTGATGGTTATGATGGGGATGAGGAGGAGAAGGAGGATTATGATGGTGGTGATGGTGACAATGATGGTGATGATGGGGATGCTGATGATGATGAAGCCTGCTAATATTTTGGGATCACTTATTAAGTGCCAGGCAGAGTTTTAATTTTGCTTGACCTGGATTATCCCACGTAATCCTAACGAAACCTCTGGAATACACACCGTTACTGTTCCCAGCATGAGTCCCATGCCCAGGTTGCTCCAGGTGAAAGAGCTGCTCATGTGGGCATGGGAGTCCAAGGGCAGCAAGAGAGGGGGTGCCTGGATATGCTGAGCCTCACAACCACCCCTATGGGCAAGGTTCGCTGTTCAGCTTCCTAGGTGCTAAAACTGAGGCCCAGGGAGGGAGAGCGACTTGCCTGAGGTCACACAGCTGGGGATGACAGAGACAAGGGGGGAGCTCAGGTAGGCCGGAACTCAAAGCTTTCGCTAAGAATCTAGGCCAAGTGCTAGGAAGGGGAGGATGACTCAGCCAGGCCTGGTCCTGTCCTCAAGGAGCTCACAGTCTCATGGGAGAGACAGGCAGGTGAGCTGATGGCAAGAGAGGAGCAAGGAGACCACTCCAGCCAACGGTCAGGAGGGCTTCCCAGAGGAGGCAACATGTGGGCCGGGGGAGAAAGGCAAAAAGCTCAGACGGCGGGCCCAGGAAGGCCAGCAGGCAGGGTCTAGTAGGGGCTCCCCTCAGCAGAGGCCCCGGCCTGAGCCCCCAAACCTGCAGCTGGCTATGCAGAGCACCCGCCTCGGCAGCCTCCTCTCCCAGAGCTATTTTTAGACCCGATTCAGCTCTAAACGCAAGCACTCTGTCAAGACGGCGGCCAACTTGGACCCCGTCCCTGAGCAGGCCCTCTCTGGAACCCAGAATAGAAAATAGCTCCACTTGTGGATGACATGGACTGCTGGCGGAGCCCTCGTCTTTCCGTGGACCGAGGCCAGATCACGGCTTAGCCTTTGGAGGACCCGACACATGGATGCTCCCTACCCAAATACAGGATAAAAATGCGTGCAGAATTGTGTTGCACTTAATCTCGTAAAAAGGCAGTTTTCTCTGGGGCAGAGCACAGTGCCAGCAGACCGCAGAGAGAGCGTGCAGGGGCCACTCACTCATGTGAGTGTGCTCGACGCGGTTTCTCCTGGTTATCAATACTTTTCTAAGGTGGAAAGCCACTGGATGTGGGAGCTGACCATCTCAGTGATACAAAAATCGTCACAGCCCCAAGTTATTTATCCCACGCTCACAGGTGCCGGCGCCATGCCGAGTAATTTACCTGCTTCCTCTCTCAATCCACGTAACCACCCCACGAGATGGACACATTGTTATCCCATTTCACAGATAAGAAAGTTGAGGCCCAGAGAGGTAAGTTATTTGCTCCACCAGCCAGTAAGTAGGAGGTTTGGGATTGGAATTTAAGTCTGTCGAACCCCAGAGACCCCAGGCTTAATGTCTCCATGACGCTGTTTCTCTGTCTTGGGTCACTCCCTCTTCCTCTTCATCCCCAAAGGCCAGCTCAGAGGTCACCTCCTCCAGGAAGCGTGTCCTCTTGCCAGGCCAGGTTGGATGCTTTTTCTCTCAGAGCAGTGGCCGCACTGGGACACATTCTCCACCAGCCCGAGAGCCCCTTGAGGCCGAGGACGGTGTGTGGTCACCTCTGTTACCTCCCACCGGCCCAACAGCTCACTCAGGAGAGGTTTGAGGATGTGTGAACGAGTGAAGCTTTTCTAAAGGGAGGGAAACTGAGGCCCAAGGGAGGGCTGGCAGGCGGGACAGTGTACTGGTCAGGGTCTCAGAGTCCAGGGTCAGAGTGACCTGGATTGAATTCACACCGGCCAGGTTTTAGACCCCTGCTGAGGAGCCCGAGTTCTTTGTGCACATTAGGAGGACGGCCGTGCCCCCGGCCCCGGTTACCGGAGCGTCAGGCTGAAGACCAGGCGGCTCGCGGCCTCGGCCCACGGCTTGTGCCGGTCAGGGATCCGCAAAGGACTGCTCCTGTCGCTATCAAACCCAGACCCCAATTCCGCACCAACTGAGGGAAAAACCGACCGATCTCCTTGTTTCATCTACATAAAGGCTGTGCCCACGTGCCCAGTGGGCGATTTTTTTTCACTTTTTAAAACTGGGGTAAAATACACATAACATAAAATTTACCACCTTAACTGTATTTCTGTGTCCCGTTCAGCCGCATTAAGTACATTCGCATTGCTGTGCACCCGTCACCCCATCCATCCCCATAACTCTTTCACTTTCCCAAACGGGAAACTCCGTCCCCGTCAAACATGAGCTCCTCCTTCCTCTCCCCAGCCCCTGACGCCCGTCGTCCTGCCGTCCGTCTCTGCATTTGACCCCTCTGGGGACCTCATGTCAGTGGAATCCTGTGGGCCTTGTCCATCTGTGACTGGCTCCCGTCCCTGAGCACAGTGTCCTCCAGGCCCATCCTGGAGGCAGGTGACCGGATCCCTTCCCCTTGAAGGCTGAGCGCGGCTCTGTGTCTTCTTGTGTATCCGTTCCTCCATCGAGGGGCACGTGAGTTGTTTCCAGGATGCAATTTCATGCGTCTGTCATGGACTCTATCAGCTGACCAGGGGGAAATCTGTGAAAAGGTTGTGACGAGTGACTTCAGAGAGTCAGTAACCTTGCTGAGCACCTGCCCTGGGGGCACGTGCGCCCTCAGAGCTGCATGCACTGCACAGGTGGAGGCCCCGCGGAGGCAACAGTGTGCAAGTCCTGGGCGTGCATGTGTGCACAGACTCACACAGGCACACGGATGTGGATGGAGCGTGCACAGGTGTCTACGTAAGCGGACACACGGAGCCGGACAGATGGGTGGGCGAGCTAGGCAGCTGCTGGGGGCGCCAGGCCACAGGACGTGTTGCAGCTCCGCTGGGGAGGAAGCATCAAGAAAATCGTGTGTATCGGAGCTCTCCGAGGGCAGACCCGCGTGTGTGGAAGGAAGCCGCTGTGCGCGTGCTGGGGGAGTGAGAGCCTCGAGGGCAGTGGGGGCGAAGTCCTCTACAGGGCCAGGCGGGAAGGGTTCTAGACCTCGCAGGCCACTTACGGCCTCCACCAGTGCTCCCACTCCTCCTCCTGCTTCTTCTTCCTCCTCCTGCTCCTCTTCCTCCTTCTCTTTCTCCTCCTGCTCCTTCTTTCTCATCTTCCTCCTCTTTCCTCCTCCTCCAAAACAACAAATACATAGAGAGCTTAAAAGCCTCCAGAGAGAAAGACCACTGACCCTCAGAGGAGCAACCACCACACTGAGAACCCGCGGCCCCGCGGCACCGACAGAGCCCACAGCACAGCCGACTGTGTGCGCCACACCTCAGGGCCGGGGCTGCCCACGGAGTGTGGGGGGATCCGTGTGTTTAAAACAAGCAGCTCTGAAAGAACGCGTCGAATGCTATTGCGCGGCAGGCCCCGGGGAGGTTCATAGTTTAATTATATTTCCTGTTCTTTGCTGTCTGCTTGAAATATTTCATAATTTGAAATTTTTCAAGTTAAAAATATGAGCAAAGCAAAAAGTTTTAAAACGTAGGTTTTAAGGGCTGCCACATCCCTAACCGACGGCAGCAGCTCCTGTGTCTGTCTGTCCCGGGATGTGTCAGTGTGCCGTGGATGGGCGGGTGCCCACACACCAGCCTCCTCATCACCGTCCCAGGCACGCTGGCCGTGACCTGTCACTCCGCCCTCACCCAGGACACATGGGAGGCAGTGCATCCTGGAGGACCCTGGGCCAGTGACAAGGGTGGAGGATAAAGGCCCACCTCGGCCCCTCGGGTGGGCGGGGCGGCCCAGTGTCTGGCCCATCTCCCAGGGCTCCAGGCCATGGTGCCCAGGGCCGCAGCAGGAGCAGGCCCACTGGCCCTTGGCGGGCTCTGTGTCCCATCTCAGTGCCCCGTGGCAGCAGGGCCCCAGGGGTCGCAGCCCGTGAAACCAGCAGCCCCCTGCCTGTCTCAGGGTCAGGCTCCGGGTGCTGCAGACACGTGGAGGCAGGTGGAGGATAAACGCCACCAGGAGGCACCTAGCCCTCACCGTCCCCAGGTCTCTGCACAAAATTCCATGAGACGGTATTTGTGTCCACACCTGTTCAGGCAACAGGAACTTCAGTGCCGGCATCTGACAAGTGCGTCAGTACTGACGAGGATAAGCAGGAAAGAGGGTCACAGGGGGATGGAACTCAGAGGGGACAGAACACCAAGGGACGGGACTCCGAGGGGACGGGACTCTGAGTGGACCGGACTCCGATGGGGCGGGACTCCGAGGGGACGGGACTCTGAGGGGACGGGACTCCGAGGGGACGGGACTCTGAGGGGACGGGACTCTGAGGGGACGGGACTCCGAGGGGACGGGACTCTGAGTGGACCGGACTCCGATGGGGCGGGACTCCGAGGGGACGGGACTCTGAGGGGACGGGACTCCGAGGGGACGGGACTCTGAGGGGACGGGACTCTGAGGGGACGGGACTCCGAGGGGACGGGACTCTGAAGGGACGGGACTCTGAGGGATGGAACACCGAGGGGACGGGACTCTGAGGGATGGGACTCCGAGGGGACGGAACACCGAGGGGACGGGACTACGAGGGGACGGGACTCTGAGGGATGGAACACCGAGGGGACGGGACTCTGAGGGACGGGACTCCGAGGGGACGGGACTCCGAGGGGACGGAACTCCGAGGGGACGGGATTCCCAGGGGACGGGACTCCCAGGGGACGGGACTCTGAGGGACGGGACTCTGAGGGACGGAACACCGAGGGGACAGGACTCTGAGTGGATGGAACTCCGAGGGGACGGGACTCTGAGGGGATGGGACTCTGAGGGGATGGGACTCCGAAGGGACAGGACTCTGAGGGATGGAACACCGAGGGAACGGGACTCCGAGGGGATGGGACTCTGAGGGGACGGGACTCTGAGGGATGGAACACCGAGGGGACGGGTCTCTGAGGGGACGGAATACCAAGGGGACGGAACACCAAGGGGACGGGACTCCGAGGGGATGGGACTCTGAGGGGACGGGACTCTGAGGGACGGAACACCGAGGGGATGGGACTCTGAGGGGACAGGACTCTGAGCGACGGAACACCAAGGGGACGGGACTCCGAGGGGATGGGACTCTGAGGGGACGGAACACCGAGGGGACGGGACTCCGAGGGGATGGGACTCTGAGGGACAGAACACCGAGGGGATGGGACTCCGAGGGGACGGGACTCTGAGGGATGGAACACCGAGGGGACGGAACACCGAGGGGACGGGACTCCGAGGGGATGGGACTCTGAGGGGACGGGACTCTGAGGGGATGGAACATAGAGGGACGGAACTCAGAGGATGCCAGACACTGAGAATCCCGATGGGATGGTGGGACCAGCAGGGTTTGCTAGAATCCGCCCGACCTCCTGAAGCCCAGCAGCAGGCCGGGCCCTTGTCCTTGAAGCGTGGAGGAGGCCACGTGTGCGGGAGGAGGGGCCGGTGTCTGGGCAGGAAGGTGGCACAGCCCCAGTTGGGATGCCACATCCCTGGGCTGACTGTTCAATGATTACACATCGCATCTCTAGCATTCGAGTCCCCCAGGGCCCCAGGGGCTGAGTGCAGAGTGGGGGCGTTCAGGTCAGAACGTCGGGTGGGATGAGCACAGACGCAAAGCTTCCTCGTGGCTGTGTCACCTGCTGCAGGTAGGTCTGACCTGGAGGCAAGGTGGACACAGGACAGACTCACTCTTCAGCACCCCTGGGTTTTGGGTCAGGGACATTCTGTTTCTCTAAAGGGTGGTTTTTTCTCTTTTATTTCAGCGAAGGAAACATACACGAAGGCCTTGCCGGCCCCTGGACTGGGGCGACCCGTGGTTTGTGGAGGTCTTCGCCTGCATGGTCCTTTGTCAGGAGGTCAGCTCAGAGCTCAGCCCTGCAGGTGGTATGTCCCCCGTCCTGCGAGTGCATTTGCATGTGGTGAGGGATATGCTGTGCCCAAGCTTTGCCCCCCAGAGACCCAGAGGTATCCCACCAAGGCCAAAGGGACGCTGTCCCCAGCCCTGCCGAGGCCAGGAACTCCAGGGAAGCTGTCGGCCGCAGAGCATCAAGGAGCAGTGCAGGTCGTTTGGAGGGTTCGTCTTCTGAACCAGGAGCAGGGGCGCGGCTGCTCTGGGGTGTCCCCTCTGAGCTGGACACTCAGACGTGTGATGCATTACGTCACATCACAGGCTGGCTACCTCTAGATCGTGTCGTTCATATTCGAGGTCAGAGAGTTTTTGTATGCCGGTGACTGTCACTTCCCGGGAAATGGCGGTAAAGCGTCTTGAGGAATGGGAAGCGTTTTCTAACTTCACCAACACACGCTTCAGGCTAGAAGCGGGGAGGTCAGGCAATTGTTGTCGCAGCTCTGTGAGATGCAGATTAAAAGCTCCATTGTACAGATAGGGAAACTGAGGCTCAGAGAGTTTACCAAGCTTGACAGAACCAGGATTTGGACCCAGGTCTTACCAGAGGAGTCTATGCTCCTTCTCTGCGCCAAGCCTTCCTCCATGGCCTCGTGTCACGGCCTGGGGAGAGGGGCCACAGTGAGAAATCTAGAAACAAAACGAAAGACGTTCTTAAGACGTCAGACCAGGTGTGTGCGTCTGCCTCCCTCTCTGTTCCCGGTCCCACTGAAATGACAGCAGAGAGGCACAAGGAGAAAAACTCAAAAAGCTGTTCAGGCCTGAACAGGGCCTACAAACCACTGAAGCTCCTGGAAAGTTTCTGGGGGACAAATAGCTGGGAGCAGAGGGGGCCCCAGCTGATGGAACTGGCTAAAGGAAGACTCGAGACGCTAGGGGAACCACCTGCAGGGCCGCCCAGGGTTTGCGGGTGTGGAGCGTGCGGTGAGAAGAGGCAGAGAGAACAGGAGCTGAGCTTGAGTCCTATTTGCAGGTGAGCCGAGCCTGGTGGCGGAGAACGGCTATCTAGTCCTCTGTAGACGCCAGGTCTTCTGGGGGTGGTGGGGGGTGGCCCTCTTCCTGTCATCGTTTGGACAGGATGGCAGCCTCCCCGCCCCCCCGCCCCCGCCCACCCGAGTGAGGCCCCGGCACCTACGGATCACAGGCAGCTTCTCTCTCAGCAGACAGGCTGGACACATCAGAGGAAACCCGCACTGTCCTACGGTACTTAGTTAATTAGCCACGCCC